CATACACTTCAAACATTCCAACCTTCAAACCTTCAAAGTTTCATACAATCAAACCTTCAAACCTTCAAACAATAAAACATACAAACATTCTTATAACTCATACACTTTAAACATTCCAACCTTCAAACCTTCAAACCTTCAAACAACCCTACACAATGGCCTCTGCACCCCCAATATTTCATCAATGCACATTTCAACGGTGAGACATACATTTGTCCCACCTCCGGGTTTTTGTTTAGAGACACAGACAACATCCGATTTCTTTTAAATGGGAAAGCCAATTTCTCGTACTTCAAAAAACGATTGGAGGCCAAACTTGGATGAGGCCCGGTGACACAGATATTTTATCAGAATCTAGTTTTTTTTTTGGAAACAACCAAATAATATTTTATAAGGTTGAGGTTCAAGATGACGAGGATCTTCAGAATATGTTTTCCAGCCATGTGTATTCTAGGTACGACTCTATTGAGTTGTACATTATGCTGTGAGAGCCACAGGTGACACAAGTGGTTGATCCTTTGGAGAAAGAACAAGCAGAGGTAGATACAGTTGACGAAGAAGAAGATGACGAGTTAGAGTTTGATGAAATGGTGAATGATGATTCTGACGATGATGGCATACCTAGTATTCCTGCAAATGAGATCTACACACCACCTCCGGACATGACAAACTTCAACATGGGCGGAGATGAACCGTCTACTGATTTATTTTTCAATCCGTATATGCAGTCGGATGAAAACTTAAAAGAGAAGGACAGGTTTCGTAACAGAGAGGAATGCATCAGAGCCATAAAAAAATTCCACATGCTCAACTCGGTCAATTTTAAGGCGGACCGTGTCAACCCAGAAAGGTACAAGATCAAGTGTGTCCACCCTGACTGTATGTTCAAGCTCACTGCATCATACATATTAAAAGGTGATTGTTGGGTCATAGGTTCCATACTTCCCATACTTGTGTAAGTTCTACCCAATCACAGGACCACCGAAAACTTAATTACGATCTCATCTGTCAAGAAATCCTACCACTGGTCAGCAACGACCCATCTTTGAAGGTGAAAACCATCATCTCCCACATCACCACGGTTTTTAACTATACTCCGTCTTACCGTAAGGCGTGGTTAGCAAAGACTAAGGCGATTGAAAAGGTGTACGGAAACTGGGAGGAGTCATACCAAGAACTTCCTCGCTACCTGAATGCACTCAAGACTTATTCTTCGGGTACTGTTTACGTTTTGGAAATAGTGCCAGCATACGCCCAAGATGATAGTCAACTAAATGGAAATGGAATATTCACTCGAGTGTTTTGGGGATTTCAACCTTGCATCACAGGGTTTGCATCATGCAAACCAATTATACAAATTGATGGGACTTGGTTATATGGGAAATACAAAGGCACGTTACTGATGGTAGTTGCACAAGATGGCAACAACAACATTTTCCCAATTGCCTTTGCCCTAGTCGAGGGGGAGACCGGCGGTGCTTGGAGCTTTTTCTGAAAAACCTGCGAACACACGTGGCTCCTCAACCAGATCTCTGGAAAGAAAGTGTGGTTTATGCCGTCAGATCGGACACAATCGCAAAAATTGTCCGAATCGGGCGTCTGCCTCGACCACATAAAAATTGTAATACATAAAATCTTTCCTTAATTATGTTGTAAACCTTAGGGTTTTTTGTTAACAGTTTTTGCTACAATAAAAATTGCGCGTACAAGAAAAAAAACACGATATTTTGTCTACGAAATTACAACTATTAAAACAATTTCATCTGACCCATGCATCATCAACATTACGTCGTTGTCTGTTGTGACTTCCTGCAACCATACATTAGGTCTTCCTGTCGCATGTGAGGTTGTTGTTCGTCTTTGCTGGATCCTTCGAATTTTTCCCCCCTCTGCAATGTCTCCATCTAGCCATTGCATCAACTCCCGCTTCAGACGCTCCATGGAGTGAATGTGCCAGAATTTCATTTTTATCGCAGGTTTTGTGGCGGAGAAGATAACGTAACCATCTCTAGTAAAAATCATGGGCGATGTCATGACGCAAATAACAGAGTAAAAAATAAGAAAACAATGCGAGAAAGTGTGAGAAGTGACGGAGAAACGGATGAATTATTTATAAAACAACATTTTACCATAGTTTTGCCCTAGGAGCCAAGTGAGATGGCGCCTCCTCTCACTTTTAAAGTGCATGCGCCATCTCACTTGGCTAAAAGAGAGAGGAGGTGCCAAGTGAGATGGCGCCTATGACAAAACTCTAGGTGGATGCGCCAAGTGAGATGACTCCTCCTTTGGGGAGTCATCTGAAACATGGTTATTTGCGTAATTTTTTCCGAAACGTGGTTTTTTGCGAATTTTTTTTAATACCTGATTATTCAAAAAAAAAATCAAAATCTGTTTTTATCAAATTTATATATAAAAACATAACATTAAATTAACAATCACCACCAATCTAACAATTATATATATAAAAATCTGAAAATATAAATAAATAAAATTACAAAAATACCTTAATGAAGCTTGTATAATACCTTTGAGTTGGGATTTTGAAACTTGAAAAAATTCACCTTTCAAACAAAAAATCAAAAACAGAAATTAGTGACTAAATTAAAAACTAAAATTAAAAAAAGAATTAATAAGAAAGAGGTGAGATTATACCTTTGAGTTGAAGATGAAATAAAATTGAAGAGTCAATTAAGAGAATGAATGAAAGGCTGAAAATGGGTGAGGAAGAAGAGAGACCGAAGTAATTCTTCAAATATAAATGAACAAAATTTGAAAATTTATAAAGAATGTAGTGATGTGATTTTTAGGTCTCAAATTAGCGATATAAAAATCTCATTGTAACTCTCTAACTGCAACAAAGTTGTGACGTGATAATCATGTCAGTAATTAAAGTTGTCAGTCAAGTGTGCTCCATCTCTTTTCAGTCAATCAACTTTTTCACTTAATTTTTCAGAATTTCTCACATAAAAGTTGTAATGTGATATACACGTCACAATTTAAATTTTAAAATTTTCAAATTTACCCGTATAATTTAATTTTTTTTTTTTGAAAAACAAAGTCTAACAACCCATGTGATAATGTTACTTTTATTACAAATATGCAGCGATAACTATATTTTTTACCATATAATTATCCCATCATAAAATCACTGGTAGGAGGGAATTTTTATTGTAGAAAAGACACACTACATGACTTCCATAAATAAAAAAATAAATAATATAGAAATATAGAATAAACTTAATTACTTGGTGACATATAATCCATCTTTGGAATTATATACAATATGCTCGAAAATCATGTGGAAGGTTTTCTAAACCTAGCTAGAAGTTTAACTACCAAGAAAAACCGCTTAATATTACAACGGCGATAATAAGAACAAAACCACTCTTTAATTGTCATTTTGTGTACTAATTAAGATCAAGATCAAGAATACAGTTAAGATATTAATTATAAGAGTTTAGCCAAAAATAGGACAAAGACTAATCAGCCCCTAAATTACCAATAGTACTTAAAAAGCACCAAAAGGACAAGCTAGGAAATGTCTATCATATTGCTTATTCCTATAATAGAACAGACCAAATGTATACGCCAAATTAAGATGATCTATAACATATACAAACTTTGTATTACACTGTTACTTTATTCATATACATAAAAATATGATGTTATACACGTACATTCAAGATTCTCTCTAAATTCTTTCAATAATATGAATTTTATATATATAATTTATGCTTATATTTTTGTATTTCATATGTATGAAAACAGAAATGATATTTTGACATTTATATTGAACATCATATAATATGTTTAATTTTAAGATAATAAAAATATAAATTACATTTTTTATATGTTAATAGTCCTCTATTTATTGTGATCAGGAAAGAGATGAAACGATTTGATATAAGAATTAACCTTCAAATTAATTTAACCGATTCAATAAATCAGATATTAGTATTAAAAAATTAAACAAACAACATCTAGAATTTGCATCAAACTAATTAATACATATATTGGAGTAACAAAACAAGGTCACCAACTCATTTGAATTCTGTTCTAAACCCAACTTTGGAGTTATTAAGAAGTAGGACCCAAATAAGAAACTTTATTCAAGGGTTCAGAGAAAAAAAGAGCTTATTTTTAATTTTTATGGTGTTCACAAGAATTAACAATAGAGAATTTTAAACATACAAAGAACCTGGCAGGTAATTTAATAAAAGTTATATCAATCTTTTTTGTTTCCAGACAGTTGTGAGAGTCAAAGTTTTTGTAACAAAAGGCCAAATAAATTTATTTAGTTTTGTGTTTTTTATTGCAAAGTTTCGGTGAAAAAGACATAAACACCACTGTGAAAATTACAAAGCAGATTCTCTTTATGTGTTAGGCTATATAGAGTGTAGACACTATATAAATATAATATTATAATAATTTAAATTGCATTCTCATTGCAATAGATGTGAATTAAAAGTTTTATATCATACAATATTAAACAATAAATAATATATGATATGAATATATTTTTATAAATGAGGAACAATATTAGACAACAGAAAATATATGATATGAATATCTTTTTTTATAAATGAGAGATCATCGTCACTTTACAAGTTGATTTTAAATTGAGTTAAAATTAACTATATTTTTTAACGATAGTTGATTTAAGATTTTATAGATTATTTATCATTGAAATCCCTTCATATTATAATTGAGATATGATTTAAAATCTTTAATCATGTATTTTAAATTCTTCTCAATCAAAATTCACGTCATAACTACCTAATATGTATTGCAACAAACAAAGGCTGTGATCGCAATCAGAACACCCTTAATCGCATCCGCGACCTTAAGACCAATTTAAAACTATATATTTTGGCACTATTATAATCCAATATGTCATAAACCTTGCTGTATTCCCCTATAAATTCTTCAAAAGGTGTTTCTTAAAGAATTAACATTAGCATTCACAAAACATACACGTGCAAACTCTCACCAAAAAAAAAATGGAGTTTTATGATGGAGATTTGATGGAGGAATTAATGGCTCTAAGAAGAGAAACTCCAAATCAAAATGAAGAAGAAAATCAATTCTTCTCATCATCAAGTAATAACAACATCTTGAGTTTGGAAAACTGTTTCGATCAAAACTCTTTATATTATCAACAAAACTCTTGTAGTCAACAACTCTTTCCTCAAAGTTACATCAACAATGACTACTATAGTAACACTTTCAATGAAATCTATGATTCATTACTTCAAGAATCTTCAACACCTCAGATTCTTGATTCATATTACAATAACACACTCGACACGCCGTTTGTTTCTCAAGAAGATTTTCCACTGTCCATGATCGGAGAAGGAGAAGGAGAAGAAGAAGAAGATCAATGTTTGCTTGGCGAAGAGATTAAGAATTTGGAGCTGCAAACAAAATGTAAAATGGAGGAAACACAATCACCAGAAATGCCGGTAGTTTTCAAGTCTGAAAACAGTTTGGAGAGAAAAAATCGGTCCAAGAAGCTTCAAGGACAACCATCCAAGAATCTAATGGCGGAAAGGAGACGAAGGAAGAGATTAAACGATCGCCTATCGATGCTTCGAGCAATTGTCCCTAAGATAAGCAAGGTAGTTTATAAATACATAATTTTTTTATAAACAAATGTTAGTATATTAGTCGTTGCGCAGATCTAATTTATTTTTGTCGAATGTCGATGTCTATTTATATATATGATAGATGGATAGAACGGCTATACTCGGAGATACTATTGATTACATGAAAGAACTTCTAGAGAAAATCAACAATCTACAACAAGAAATTGAACTAGATTCAAACATGTCAAGCGTTGTCAAAGATGTAAAGCCAAATGAAATCTTAATAAGAAACTCGCCAAAGGTACAAAATTTTGCTAACTGTTTTAAAATTTATAATCGGTCTTTTATCACGAGATGTCAATTTATTTGTAAGAGTTTGAATTTGTAACTTAAAAAGTATAGTTAAAATCGTTTCGATGAAAGTTGTAAAATAACTATATTGACATATATTTTCTTTTTTTTTTTTTTTTTTATATTTTTCGAATTTCGTCTTTGCAGTTTGAGGTGGAGAGAGGCCTAGAGACTAGGGTTGAAATTTGTTGTGCAGGGAAACCAGGGCTATTGCTATCCACAGTGAACACATTGGAAGCAGTAGGTCTTGAGATTCAACAATGTGTTATAAGTTGTTTCAATGAGTTCTCAATGCAAGCTTCTTGCTCAGAGGTTGTACATTATTAGTTTGATACTATTATTTGGTTTCTGATTTTTTATTCATCTTGTCACTATTGTATTTTTCTAGTTAGGTAATTAATTGTATTTTCTTATTTGTTATGTAAAACAGGAATTTGAGAGAAGCACAATGCTATGTTCTGAAGATATTAAGCAAGCTTTGTTTAGAGGTGCAGGGTATGGAGGAAGATGTTTGTGAGAATATATAATAAAGTAAATTCAGGTCTCGAATTCAAATTTTTCAGAGGTAGAAGTTTTATGCAGTTACATGCGAGGAGTGAATCTCAATCATTAATTTTAGTTCAGACAATTCTATTTATATAGTTCGTATCTTAATTTAAATAATTTTTAATTATTAATTTAGATCGAACGACTAAAATCTGTAATTGTTTCACATAGTTATATCATATAATTTATAGACTAGTTTTTTCTTCGATAGTACCGATTCAAATGAAATATAAATGTCTAGAGTGTGGTGGAGTTGTCCTAATGAATTTTGTACACAATTACCAATCATAAAATCATCATGTCATGTGAGTGTGAACATGAATAAGTTTATGGGTGAGGAGGGCCTAGATGATGCCATTGGATGGTCCCTTAAGATATGCATGTGAAGGCTCAAGCAAAATTGTGAGACATGATAAGAAAGTAAAGTTAGGGTTTTTGTTTCTATTCTTTTTTTCTTCTTCTTCCTATCACTTTTAGATGTCACTTTTCACTTTCTCTATTTGTATAGCTTCTATGTATGCAAAACTTTTCTATAGAATGTAAGAATGTGATATTTAATACTTCACTCAATTTTCACTTTGAAAGGGTGGATAAAATTAAAAGAGGATTTATTGGGGGACCAGGAAAAAACAGAGGACAGGGAATATTCCTAACAGCAATACAAATATAAAGTAAGTAAAAAGATGCAAACATTGGTTTTGAAAGTGTTCTTAATTCAATTCTTACAAACGCACATGAAACAATTTAAAATAAGAAGTCTATTTTATTGGAATTTTAAGAATTTGTAAGATTTTTTTATTAAAATATTTTGTGATATTTAACCAAGGTAATAGAAATACTAATTGATTTAAACATATTATGCTTCATGGAATGCGTTGAAATATTAAAATAGATTAAATTTGATTTAATATTTAAATATAATTTAATTGTGTTAATTTAAATCTAATTAAGGTTTTATATAAATAGTTATAATATGTATTTTTATTTTGTATAATTGATTAAGTGAATAATAAAATTCTTATTTTCTTTATTATTCTCTCTTTCTCTCTTCGTGTCTCACGCACTAACAAATTGGTATTCAAACCTTTCGGTTAATGTTTTTGATCGAGTTTTTAAGAACTTCACGTCAGAGATCGTGTTTCCTGAGCAAGTGAATCAATCGTTGCGAAGATGGCTAGTGATAAGGGCATTCTGAATTCTCTTCCAATCCTTGACGGTAAAAATTGGATTCGATGGAAAAAACAGATGCAATTCTTGTTTGGCTTCCATGAAACTCTAGAAGTGGTTACCGACGACATTCTTGCGTTGGCTACAAATGCAACCGATGAACAGAAAAAAAACCCACAACGAAGTCAAGAAGAAAGATTACAAGGCCGCTTATTGCATTCAGACAGCGGTCGACAATGCTAACTTTGACATAAATTCTCATGTTAAAATAACGAAGGAGACATGGGATATTATAGTGAAGTATTACGAAGGAGGTGAAAAGGTCAAGGTTGTCAAGTTACAAACCTTGCATCGACAATATGAGTTGTTGTGGATTGGAGAAGACGAAAGAGTTGCAGAATATGTGTCAAAGGTTCAGAAACCCGTTCATCTCATGACGGGTTATGGTGAAACCATAACTGATAAGATGATAGTTGGGAAGGTAATGAGAATGTTAACTTGTCACTTTAATCACGTTATCGTAGCTATTCAAGAATCCAATAAACTTGAAACCCTAAAAGTGGAAGATTTGGTTCGTCCATTGGAGGCGCATGAGATGAAGATTGTCGAAAGAAAGGGAGTTCAACACTCGATACAGACACTGCAAGCTCAATCATGGAAAAGGAATGGTGGTTCCAACAAGTTCAAAGGCAATGTCGACAAGACTCAGGGAAAGAAGTCTTGGTTGAATACTCATAAGCATCAGATCAAAGACAGATCTTATGAATCCTCGAAAAGAGGAGGAGGAAATTATCAAAAGGACAAAGAAGATAAAAAAGGTGTGCAGTGCTATAACTCTAAAAAGTGGGATCACGCTGCTAAGAATTGTTGGTACAAAAAAGACAAGGGATCGACATGAAAGGACAAAGGAGCAAACCTTGCACGCCAAGATTCAGATGATTCTGAAGGTGGTATGGTGGTTATGGTTGTAGTTCTAGATAACCATGTCGATTCCAAGATCTGGTTTCTCGACTCAGGCTACTCGAATCACATGACTGGTCGAAAAGAGTGGTTGGCAGATTTTAACGAGTCGAAGAAGAGCAAGGTAAAACTTGTTGATAATACTTTGTTTCAAGCAGAAGGTACTAGCAACGTAGTCTTTCAAATGAGTAATGGATGGAAAGATGTGCTCTATGTACCTGGAATGAAGTGAAACTTGCTAAGTGTTAGACAACTAGTCGAAAAAGGTTTCTCAATTGTTATGAATGATGGAGTTTTAAAATTGTTTGACACCAAGAATAATTTGGTCTTAAAATCTCCTCTGTCGATGAACATGACATTTAAGACCATGATCAGTTAGACTAAAGTACAATGTCTAAAAACTCTTATCGACCACAAGGATAGTTAGTTGTGGCATTTGAGGTTTGGACATTTGAATTTTCGATCACTCAATCAGCTGATTACTCAAGATATGGTATCTGGTAGGGGTGTTCGCAGTGCGGTTTGGGCGGTTTTGAAGCAAAAAATCACTCGAACTGTAAGAGAAAAAACGTGTGATTCGATTTGATTCAGTTGGCTTTTAAAAATAAAACCAAGCCAAAACAAACCAAACTAATGCGGTTTGGATTGATTCAATTGGTTCGGTTTTTTATAAGAAAAATTATTGAGCCACACATACACATATAGAGAAAAATTTAATTTTGTGTTTAATCGTTCATACATTACCATAAAAAAATTTATAATTGTCAAAATAAGTTTATAATTTGATACATAAAATTGTGTATTATAATTTTATCTAAATCTAAAGAATGATATACATAAGATTACATTCTTAAATAAATATTATACAAAGAATATGATAAAATATATTTTGTGAATATAGTATTTATGAATGAATAATATTTTATTTTTTATGATTTTTAAACTAAAATAAATATCATACAAAGAATATGATAAAATATACACATAATACATGTTGATTTCTTTAACGAATTAAAGAAATATATATTGGTTACTAAGATTTTATAATATAATATGGTTTGGTTTAGTTTGGTTTGGTTTGAAAAATACAAACTGCAAACCAAACTGAATCGCGCAGTTTCGTTAGAAAATGACTCAAACACATCCAAATCAAATACGGGTTTTTGTGGTTTCGGTTTGGTTTGGTTCAATTTTATGGTTTTATATTGGACCGGTTTAGTTTTGAACACCCCTAGTATCTAGTATCCCAAGTCTTGATATACCCGAAAAAATTTATGAAGGTTGTTTAGTCAGAAAGCAGTCCAGAAACTATTTTGTTTCGATTATGCCAATGAGATCATCATGCATACTCAAAGTGGTATATTCAGATGTATGTAGTCTGTTCAAAGAACATACCATTGGTGGAAACAAATATTTTGTTTCGTTTGTCGATGAGTTTAGTCGAAAGTTATGGATCAATGTGATCAAGAGAAAAGATGAAGTATTTGAAATCTTTAAGAGATTCAAGATGCTTGTTGAAAACCAAAGTGAGAAAAGGATCAAAGTTCTGAGAACAAATGGAGGTGGCGAGTACACTTCTAAGATGTTTGAAAAATAATGTGCAGAACATGGTGTTGACCTATGATTCTAGTAGGATATCATAAGACTGGTGCGTACATGTTATTCAATCCAATTAATGAGAAGATTATGATAAGTCAAGATATTGTGATTAATGAAAAATCTGCCTGGGATTGGAATTTTAGTAATTCAATTAACAAGCCATTGATGATCTCCGATTTTGATGAAGAAACTGATGAAGTCGAAGGAATTTCTGAGAAACCAATCGAAGATGAAGTAGACGTATTTGTTGACATTCCTGAAATAGTTAAAGTTGAAGAGGATGTGGCTGAAACAAGCCAAAGTGCTCAAAGAAATAGAGTTCTTCCAACAAGACTTCATGATCATGAGGTAGCAGGTGATGATGAAGTCACACCAGATAGAGAATTAGTTCATTTTGCTTTACTTACAGGTGCTGAACCAATCAACCATAATGAAGCTTTGAAGATTAAACAGTGGAAGTTAGCTATGGTCGAAGAGTTATAGGCAATCGAACAAAATAATACATGGGAGTTAGTCGAATTTCCAGCATATACAAAAGCTATCAAAGTGAAGTGGGTGTTCAAGTTGAAACACAATGCTGATGGTTCGATAGCAAGACATAAATAAAGATTAGTAGCTCGAGGGTTTCTTCAATGAGAAGGACTCGACTACTATAAAGTATTTGCTCTAGTAACAAGATTGGAGATTGTTCGACTAGTGGTAGCATTGGCATGCAATCAAGGCTGGTCGACATTTCATTTAGATGTGAAATCACCATTTCTTAATGGTCCTTTAGATGAAGAGGTCTATGTCACACAACTTCCAGGGTTTGTGATTCAGAAGGAAGCGAGTAAAGTATATAAGTTACACAAAACGCTCTATGGCCTCAAGCAGGCACCTAGGGCATTGAACTAGAATATTGACTCATACTTAGTCGAATTGGGATTTTTCAAATGAAAATATGAGTATGGTGTCTATGTTTAGGTTGTAGCACAAGATATAAAAATCATCTGCTTATATGTCAATGACTTGCTAGTAATTGGAAATAATTTGGAGAACTTATCGAAATTCAAAGAGCTGATGATGAAGGAATTCGAAATGTCGAATATGGGAAAATTGTCTTATTTCCTAGGCATGAAATTTCAAATGTCGAAGAAAGTTATGGTGATACATCAAAGAAATTATGCCAAAGAGATACTAAAGAAATTCAGAATGGATGATTCGAATCCTTCATCCTCACATGTCGAACCAAATGTGAAGTTGGAA